CCCCCCCCCCCCCCCCGGCGACAGATGGTGGCAGGGCGGCCGGGAGCTGCTCGAGGGGCGAATCTGGCGCGGGGTACATTCTCATTGCACTCGACCACCTTGGAGGAGGCGTGCAATTCGCCGGACGGCCGTGAGGATGGCCGCCGAGATGAGGTCCGGCCGGCCGAGCATATGCCGAATGAGCATGACACAGGCCAGGGCCAGGACCCCGGCCGAGGTGGCTGTCGAGAGGGCCACGCGCAGGGCTGATCGGGGGGGCCGGTGGGCCGGCGGGCCGGCCGGCTGAGCTGCCGGCCGTGCCGGGGCCCCGGCCAGTGGCGGGGCCTTGCTCTGGGCACAGTCCCGGCCGGCGGGCAGGGCGCCGGCCGAGGCGGATCCCGCGGCTGGCGGAGCGCCGGGCTGCCTGTCCCGGGCCATGGGGTCGGGCTCTGATCCGACGGTCTGGGCATCGGGGGTGGCATCGCCCCTGGCGAATGCCGAGTGGGGCCGCTCCCCGGCCGAAGGCGGAGCCAGGGGCTTCTTCTGTGGCGAGGGGAAGCCCTCGGTCGCGGACATGGTTTCGGCCGTGGTGCTGGGACTCCGGCCGTCGGGCATGGAGCCCGCCGGGTGCTGGTGGTTGGCATAGGCCGTCAGCTGGACATGGCGCAGGCCGCTCGGCCGGGGGATGCGATCGGGCGATCGGGCGCCGGCCGGGCCTCGCCCGGGGTCCGCCTCCGCGCGAGGGCTGGAACTTCCGCCGGGGCTGAGAGCACCGCGGCCACGGCCACGAGACGCCACCAGCAGCAGGCGCGCGGCCTGGGTGGCCGATGGACTGCTTGATCCCTGGGCCAGGGTCCGCTCGGCAACCGCCTGGACCAGGCGGCAGAATTCAAATTGCGCATGCTGCTTGGACATGGGCCCGAGCTGGCGCCAGGCCAGGATTTTCTGGTGATCCTTGCTGGGGCCGGGCGACGAGGGGCCCGAGAGTATCCCATGTCGTGACTCGTTGTACGGGCCTTCCTTGACCATGCGAATGAGCGCAAGCAGCTGGGGGTTTTCATTGCCACCACGCGCATCAGTGTCCTGCTCCAAGCGGGGCGTCGGTAATGTGGGGCCGGGCCGAGGGCCATCCGCCTGGCGCGCACCTGGAGCTTTTCTGCCGAGCTGAACAGTTCCGGCGGGGCGGCAGGCGACCCAGGGTGGCCTGCCTCGGGGCGCCGGTGGGTGATCTGCTTGACCGAGTCCAAGGCCAGCATGGTGACTCGGAAGCGTTGGGCGATGGTTTCGCCCCGCTCGCGGCGCGGGAGCGGGTCCTCCCGCACTCGAGGCAGGGGGGAACTCTGTTCACGATGGGCCATGGCACTCGTCGGACCCGTTTTGGCGCGAGCCAGCTGCGCGAGTTGCCTCGGGGTTGGGGATCTGCACTTGGCCGGCGCGAGAGGCTGACAGCCCGAGGTGCTGTCCGAGTCAGGGGGCGGGGGTTGACAAAGGAGGCTGATGCGGAGGCGCGCGTTTGTGTGTGTGTGTGGACTAAAGGCGGGGAGGCGAGCAGGGCAAGGAGGAGACGTGGGGAGCAGGAGCTATGGCCGAGGAGGGTGCGGGCGCTGGTGCACCCGTTCCCCGGGGGCCCATAAGCCCTCCCCAGGTGGGGGGGGGGGGGGGCGGGCCTCCGTGAGGACTGGCTTCCCCGGCTCCGGATGAGGCGGCTAGTTAAGCTGTGCCAATATGTTCAACAATCCGGAGCGAGGGGCGAGGGCGAGGGGGGGGGACTGCCCGGATATGTAGGGTCCCTATTGCAGGCTGGCCGCGGCGGGGGTCCATACGTGAAGGGCGCCAAGACAGGAGGCAGGCGGCAGTGGATGCATGTGCCGCGGTGGCTGCGGCGCCACGGGGTAGCCCACGATCAAGCGGCGCGAGGGATCACGCGCGGCCCACATATGGTGACATGGTGCGCCGCCACGGGATGCGGCGGCTGGCGGAGGTGCCGCGCCCGTTTGGTTTGAATCGTCGCGCGGGCAAGCCTCCTCGCCAGGGCCCGGGGGAGCCGGCCGGGCAAAGCGGCAGGGTCTGTCCCGGAACCAGGGGAGCAACGCAGGTCGGGCGAGGGGGGGCGGGCCTTCTCGATGCTCAGAGGTCTGTGTGTGGCATATATGGGCGTGTGGGCCGACGCGCACCACCAGCGGCACCTTCCTTTGTGCGAGGGGCTATGGGGTGACAACTGGGCCCCTCTGCCGGGGACCGGGCGGCTGGTCGCATATCCCCTCCGCGGGCCGGGGAGAGAGCCCCTGGTCGGCGGCGTGTCCCGTGTGTGAAGTGGCCGCTGGCCGGTCCTTGGGCTCTGCCAAGCAGGCGCGAAGGAAGGGGAGGAGGACGCACGGGTCATTCCGGTGGTTCGTCACGGACGATGCCCGGCCGGGCGCGGCGAAATGCGAGCGGGGAAAAGGCGGGGTTTGGGCGTGCGGCGATGCGCCTCCCCCCGGGGGCCTGCCCGTCCTCTCCCCCGGCCAGGTATCCGCCGGCCCCGGGCGGCCAAGGGCGTTCCAGCTGCCGGGCGGCGGGTCCGAGGCCCCCAGGCCCGGAGGGCTTCTGTGCTGGCGCCGCGTCTGGCCGGGCCTCCACATCGCGGGGAGATTTTTCCTCGAGCCGGCATTCAGCTGAGGGGGACACCCGGACCAGCGGGGGGCTTTTCTTGCCTTCACCCGAAGGCAGGGGGGCAGGCGCGCGCGCGCGCGCGCGCGGGCATTGTTTATCCTCCTTCCCCTCGGCGAGGGCCTCCGGTCCGGCGTTCCTCCGGGCCTGACTGCCGCCACAAATGCGCCCCCGGCGCGCGGGTCCCGGCCAGCTGGGCACAGCCTGGGTTACATTGGTCGCGCCTGCCGGTCGCTCGTTCCCAGGCCCGGGTTGTTCCAATGCTCCATGGTGGGCAAGGCCGATGCTAGCTCAGTTGGCAGGGCCCGGGCGTCTGTTGGTGTGTGCCTCTTGCTCGGGGCGGGCCTCGGCCGGAGGCGCGCACACATCTGGCCTGGCGGCTCCCGTCCCCCCCCCTCCCCCCCCGCCCGGCCCCGGGGCACTAGTCACCCTTTTCTTTCGCTCCTCCCCCCGGACCCGGAATGGAGGCCGTAATCGCCCGCGCCTAGTCCAGGGTCCGGAGCCGCAGGGGGGGGGGGGGGGGGACGACACAGCGCCGCGGTCGCCAGTGATAGGCGGGCATATTTTCCGGCATGCTCTGGTCCCCCCGGTCTCTCGAGATCGAGTCAGTCCCTCGGCCCGCCCGCCGGGGGGAGGGGGGGTTCCTGCCCCGAATGCGTGTGGGCACTCCCTCGCCCGCCCCCGGGAGGGGGGTGGGTGCAGGACTGCGCGCCGGTTCTCCCTCCCTCTCGGACACTCCTTTTTGTGGTATTTCTTTAGCCTTCTGCCTAGAGGCTACTGCGGGAGCGGGGGGGTGGCGGCGAAACGGGACGTTGGATAGTCGCTAGGTCCGGATTGCCGGAGACGCACAGCCGGGCCATCGGGGCGCGGGCGGCGGAGGGGGGGGGGGGCGTTCTTCTGGCCCGTTCGGCGGATGCCTTTGTTTTGGCCGGCCCACGCCTGGAGGCCTGATCGGATCGGATGGCCGTTCCGCCGGCCCGGCCCCGGGTGCGGCCGGAGGGCGTGGGGCCCAGGCTCAAGGGTTCTCTTGGCCGGGCTCTCGTGCGGCGGCGCCGGTCCCGGGGGCCGTGAGCCGCCGCCAAAGGGGGCTCTCGATCCGCGCTAGATGGCAGTGCGGGGGGGAGCAGGCCCGCGGCCGGTGCCCGGAGTGCTCTCGGGCGAGAACGCCCACCCGCCGTCCGGCCTGCTCTTGAGGAGAGGCGAATATTTATCGTTACTCGCCCGGTGTGTTTCTCCCTTCCAGGCCCTCCTCCTGCCTCGCTCGCTGCCGTCAAACCGGCCGATCCCGGCGGCATGCCCATTGATGTGTGCTGACGGTGCTGTCGACGGGCGGCGACGCCCGGGCGGTCCTCGCGCGAAGCACATCACCCCGCCCCCCCGCCGGTCGCCGATCGAGCCGCCCACCTTGGAGCAAGTAGCAGCTGCAACCCATCGCAACTTCCTTGGGTGCCGCCGTGTCGCTCAAGCCGCCGCGCCCTGCGCGCCCCCTCCCTCCCCCCCCCCCCCCCCCCCCCCCCCCCCCCCCCCCCCCCCCCCCCCCGGCTCGCGAAAAGGCAGAGCACGCGCGCTCTCTCCCACACACACGCCGGCGCCCTGGCAGGCAGAGAGCGCCATTTTAGCGCTCCCAACGCGGGAGTTCCCCCCCCCCCCAGGATTAGGGTGGAGGCGCGAGAGGGGGAGGGGGGGGGGGGGGGGGGGGGGGGGGGGGGGGGGGGGGGGGGAAGGCCGCGCGCCCCCTCCCTCCCCCTCTCGACGGGGGACACAAACGGAAAAGAGGAGGGCAAAAGGGCGTCCCGCCGGAGGTGGCGCGCGCGGACTCAGCAGTTGCGCAGGGACAGGACCGAGCGGACATCGGAGCAGAAGCGCAGCGCATCCAGGAAGGGCAACAGGTCCATGAGGGACCGGTCGCTCGGGTCGCTGGTCCAGGTGTCGATGGGGATGGCATTGTCTGTGGGGCCATGGGGCGCGAGGTGCGTGCGTGCGTGCGTGCGTGCGTGCGTGCGTGCGTGCATATGGGCGCGAGGGGGTTAGGATGGCAGGCCGGGGCTTGGCGCGGGCGGAGGGGGGGGGGGG